TTTCGAATCTCAGGAATTTTCTACTGACTTAATCAAGCTGAACAAGCAAACTACTAAATAATTAATAAGTTTCGTTTAAATTTCGTATTTATCAAATAAAATAGGATAGGACAATTATATGTGCATACATGTTTGCGTATGTTTGTACATATATACATCCATAAATATATGTGCTGTTAGTTATATAAATAATAATTCCATTTTACTTTTTTTTTTTAAGTGCAACTGCATTTTTGATTAAATATTTATAATTTCTGAGAATCTATTACACCGTTCAGCAGTCCATTTTACGCAAAAAAAAATCAACAGTTTCGTGAAACTAGTGGCCAAATATAGTAAAACTACATTTTACGTTATGCTCTCTGACGCCAGGATATTTTTTAAAAGGACTGAAATTTTAAATTTAATGGTTAATTCAAAAAATCATTGAAACTAATATAGTGCAATGTAGAATAACAATAGGGGTATCAAATAAAGGCATACATTTTGTAGAACTTAAGAATTTTTTTTTGTGCTTAATGGCGAATAAGTATTAAAATGTCTTTTTATAAATATCATTGAAATTTTATAGTATTTGATTTTGGAAGGGATATATATGTTAAGGTCTAATACGCTCATTACAATATCCTCAATTTTTGTCCTACTATTCGTACTTGTGCACCGAAGAATTGAAGTATTTTCAAATATAGAGAATTTTCTCTTTTTTTTTTTTGATACCTATATTGTTTTTTTTTTACATTACACTGTATTTTTTAAATAATGTATTAAATAATAATGTCCTTGAAATTTCAAATTCCTTTTAAAACGGATCCTCAGTTTTACTATATTTGGACCCCGATTTCGTCAGTATTTGGTTTTTGATTGTGTATTTTGAAATTTTTTGGTTTTTGTTGCACAGTGTTATTGGTATTTTACAAGCATTTCAAAAACTGTTGTAACATGTTAACAAGAATAATTTCTAAATTTTAAGCACGCATTTATTTGCAATAATTTTATTTACTGAGTCAACAACCCCAAAAGGATTAAAAGTGAAATTATCATTTATTTATCGAACAGCACTAGTGCATATGTATTTATATACTCGTATATTTATACTTATTAACCAGTAGCAATAAAATATTCCCGCTGCATTTGCATAGCAATTTTATTTGCATTTATTTGCTTCAATGACTGAAAATCAAAAAGCCTGAACTTTCCTTTCATAACATAAGCAAATAAGTTCCAGTGGGCACAGAAATTTATTAAACCGTTTTGTTAAAATTGTATACACACTCCGCCAACAGAATTTTTAAACTTGTTTGTCCCTAGACTGATTTCCATTGAAAGTGGTTTACATTTTAATTTAATTTAGTTTTCCTTTATACCTAATCTACAAATCTCGCAATGCGGCTCAGCGCACTTTCGCTGATTCACAATAGCCACAAGTACTAAGTAAAATACCACTTTTTAACCGACGTCCAAAAAAGGAGGAGGTTATCAGTTCGTCGGAATCTTTTTTTTTTTTTTTTTATGTATGTTACCGCATAACCTTGGACCACGGCAACCGATTTCGATAATTCTTTTTGCATCGGAAAGGTAGTGTCTCAGAGGTGGTCCCATACTAATCTGGTTAAGATCCGATCATCGGATCATGAGATATATATATATATATATATTTTTTTTATATAAGAGTTGAAGTCGGTTTTTTTTTTGCTAAAAATTACTTGTGTCATCGCGTAAGTGCTCTTTAATAAACTACAAAATCCACAACTGCTGTTAAATGCAAACATAAGTATCGAAATTCTATATGTTACACTTTTTTGCGCCTTTTTCACTTTCTTTGCATTTTACTTCTTGTTTATTTATTTACGAGTTTGTTTTACTCAAAAATGTTTTCTTCTTTTTATCGGGTTTCTTTCGCGTTTTCATGCAAATTCCCATAAATAAACAATCAAATAACCAAGCGCGTTGCTTTCTCGCTGGGAGTACATACCTTGCAGGGAAATCTATTGGTACCGAATGGCGACCTCTACAACAAAATTTTAATCATGATAAGTGAAAGATAATCTTTTAAAATGTTGGGACTTGTGGAATCAAAGCAACAATATCGTTTACTTAAATCGGAAAATTTTGCCTTTTCGTACTATCGTAGTCGAAGGCTTAAACATCGCCAATTTTAGAAACCATACAGTTCCAAAAATGGTCCACTCAATTTAAGTTTTCCTACAAGGTATGCGTAGTTATGAACACAATGTCGCGTAAATCCATCGCATTACATAAAAATGAATAAATACCTACATATGTATGTACATACATAGCTACCAACGAGCATGCCAGTTATCCGTTTTGAGTTTTATCAGCATTGGGAATATCATTGTTGATTCTCAAAAATTTATTCCATTTTTATATTTTTTTTTGTTATACTCGTAATACCAAGGCCAAATACATATGTATGCCCCATTCAACCAACCAGTGAAACCTACCAGGATACTTCCCATTCGTTAGTACCACCTAACGATTTTTGTCACTGCGGAGCATTTTATTTGCTTTTCATTTCTGTTTGTTATCGTTTGTTATTAATTTGAAATTCAACTCGCGCGTCCAGCTTATCCCTGAAGAGCATCATCACGGCTACACAGCTCTCATAACAAGTGCATATGCATGCATATTAGGGTGGTAAAAAAAAAAATGTTAAATGTTAAGGTCTCATCACCTAGGAATTTTCTAAATGGATTAACAAATAGGCGCATTTTTTTTGCTTTAAAAAAGTTTCGTTTAGAGTCAGTCAAAGCACATGAAGTTTTCCATGTATTTTATATGGGGAAAAGACACTTTTTGGTAGTAGTGGTATAGAATTCTTCAAAATTAATGTTTTTCGATCGGAAACCTTTGTTTCGTTTTTGGAGACTTCCAATAATAAAAAAACAATTGTTTATTTTATCATTTTTTAATACTAACGATTTTTTATGGTTCCCTATTGCATGTTTTGGAGGACCTGGTTAATATTAAAAAATTTAAATAAACAATTTTGTATTATACATTTTCAATATATTTTTTTTTAACAATAAAATACGGGAATTTTCCTTTTCCATTTCGAAAAATTCTAGGGAATGAGAGCTTAACATTTTAAACTTTTTTACCCGCATACATTTTTGGACCACCCTATTATACAGACATACATAAGTCCTTAATAATATTTTCGCAATTGTTTTTCTGTAACATATTTATTTGGTGTATTGTTTGTGTATTGGCTTTTCAGGATGTAATAGTAATTTTGTGTATGTAAGCAAACATACCCATACACATATGTATGTCAATATATGTACATATATATCTATTATTTTCCATTTTTCGGCTGATACGTTCCTGGCATAAAGTTCCTGAAAGTAGATAGCTTAACGAGGCAACTCAATGCTCTAAGTACATTCCATGTGTATGTATGTATGTTGCCTATGAAAAAAGTAAATAGATTGGTTGATTCTATTTCTGTGCAAATCTCAATTTTGAAATTAAAATTGTCTTACAATTCCTAAATCTAGTTTCATAGAATTTTTCACAGACATTGTCTAACCTTTATAGAATTAGGTATGCAAATTTATTGAAATTAAATCCTGCAATTTTTTAAACGAGGAGCCAAAAATTTAATAGTTCTTAATTAAGAAAAAATAAATAAAAAACTTCTATACGAACAATATTATTATTTTTGGGGGGGGTTTTGATTGTATTTTTCTAAACTTTATGTCTAAGTATTAATATTTTTTAAATTTTTAGGAAAACAAAATATTTTTTTTCTTAATTTTCATAAAATTCTTTCAATTGCGTTTAACACCGAACTGCAAAATTTTCTGTTCTCCTATACATATACACAAACTTATGTTGTTTAACCTTGCCAATACTTTTTTCTTAATTTTAATTTTATTCCGAAGTACTCAGTTGTTAATTCATATTTAAGCTTAGTATAAAAATGGCTTTCAACGAAAACGAAAAGATTTTCTATAAAATTTTAGTTATTCACTCTTAAGAAAAAATGCTCGTATATATGTATATTTCTTCAACAAAATTTACAGCAAGAGCAAAGTACTTCTCTCTTCAAGATTTTCATGAGAGTTGTATACATTGTTATTACAAAAAAATTATATACATATCGAGCTTTATAAATTTTTATTGCAAAAAAATTATGTTTATGTACATATCGAGGCCTTTTTTCGAGCAAAATTATCGTATGTATATTTTTTTCGAAATTGGCTTGTTGATGCAAGCTTGTTCTACACTCCACAACGCATTACTTGGTAAAATATTGTAGCTAAAATCCTTGCAGTTACGCCAAAAATTTACTATATATTTACTATATTTCTTTTCTTGAGGGTGAAATTATCGTATGCGTCATACAAAAGTATTTTGCACATTAAAAAAAAAAAAACAAAAATAAATGAGAAAATTCAAAAAGTTTTGAAAATTAGAATAAAGGTTTATTGTAAAATTTGGTTACTGGCACACACGATAGTTTTGCGCAAAAGGGTTGATATATTTCTTTAATTTTAGACAAAAAATAAAAATATTTTTTTTTATTTTTTGGTTATGAATAAACTGTTTTTTTTTTTTTAATGTTAAACTTATATATTCTTGAAAAGTCTTTTTGCAAAATCTGGTTTCAAACCTCTTATGCTTCTTCAGTGGATTTTAACAGTGGTTTTGTTGCTAATAATCCCAAAATAATATTTTTTTTTTTGGGACTTTGGACAATTCCAGAGTACTATTATATTTATTGTTCATTTTTCATTTTGCTCAAGCATAACTTTTTAATGTCAACCAAAACTAAAAAAATTCATAAATTCAACAAGTTCTGCCTACAATAATAATTTGCCAAACAAAAAATTTCTGCAATGAATTTCGGCAGTGATGTTTCCAGCAATTTCAAATTACTATTTTAATTTTATGTTTAAACATGATTTTTGAAAACTTTTTTTTCTCAACGTTTTTACAAAGTTATCAACGCAGAGTTTATTCAAAAAATTAAATGCTTTTAAAATATATATGCTTATCGAAATGTTCCTAGTCACAGTTTTACATATACATATGTTAAAGCGCGCGTTAAAATCATAGGAGTACGACCGTTAAATTTCATAGAATGGTTAAAACTTAAAAATATAGAATGTACTTTCGAACATAAATAAATGGAGTATTGAATAATTTTGAAACTAATTTATATACTCTAATGTTAACTCATTTTGTTAATTTTTTACAAATTTTTCCGAGCCACGATTTTCGATGGAGTTATTTCAGTTTTATCGCGCGGTTGCACACTTTTTAACTTAATTACTGTAGTAACTCTATCAACATTTTACATTTCTGTAAAGTGAATTCATTTCTTATCAAACTTCAACTTCACCGCCCAAACGTCATTTTCTTGCTTGCTAAAGAAAAACAAAAAATATAAATAAAATGTTGATGTTTACTTTGTAAATACTGTTATTAGAAAATTCGTCAAAAATCCAGCAGGATTTAAAGTTTCTTTTGCTGGAAAATCCAAAAGTATTTTAGCTTATCGCCTCACTTCAACAAGTCGCATTTAGGTCCGCGAGCAAACAAATATCTGTAAGTAGAAGCATAAATGCATAAGCAGAAAAATACAAAAAACAAATATACACATTAACTCGAGCGTAACTGTTTGCTGACAGCTAACTCGACGCAATAGCACACACAAGCCGCCAACTAAAGTAACAACGACAAAGTTATAGAAATTAAAAATTTTCACAAAGCCAAATCTGATGAGCTTATATTCCCTAAACTGCAAGTTTAGCAGAGCGCACCTTCCGAGAAGAGGTTTAATAACAATTTCATACTACTACATACAATGTTCCATGCGGCTTTTCACATTCACATACATACATACATACATACATACATAAGTTTTAAATGTGAGGAGATATGTATCCATATATACTTATCCAAAGGTACGTACGTTTGTTGTTTCAATCATAAAAGTGAGTAAGTAAAGTATGAATGTTTGTGATTATGACTCTTACTTTTGTGCGCGTTAAGTCAGGGATTTTTTAAGCTTTCTATCTTTGTACGAATATCTACCCTCTTATCTTTTTGACTCGATTACAAAAGCGGTCTGTGTGAGTTAGTGAGAGTTGTAAAATTTATAGGCGAATAATGAAAAAGCGAAAGTAGCTGTAAATAGGATTACCCTCTTGTTGCTCGTGCGTGTAATGCTTGCAGGGGTTGGCTTCTCAAAAGACAGGTGCAAATTTTCCCATCACAATACGTGACAATTTCATTTTTAAACCGAATGGACGTAATGAAAGCATGTTGGTCCCGAGAAACTGAGAGGAAAAAATACCTGTTTCATTAAAATTGAATACATTTTAAATCTTAAATTTTATATGTATTTAAGTGAGGGCTTTTGCTATTTCAAAAAAACTCTTCTGAGAATTTTTGTATAATAATAATAATAATAGATTGGCGCTTACAAAAAAAGTGTTGATCTTGTCAAACAAGGGGAGGGGGGCCTTCTGAAAACTGCAAAACTGCATACCAAAAGTTTTGGTAAAAAGTTCTGAGTAAAAAGCTTGAAATTTTGAGAGACAAATTTTCCTTATTTTTGTAGAATGTTTAACATGGTTTTCGGCTATACTTTTAGAAAAATATTTATATTTTAAAATCAGCATTGAATTTTGGGTTATCGGAAAACCAACTTACGAAATATGTACATACATACATACATACCTAAGTTACGTTTTTGGATTTTTTTTTTTTAATATATTCTGCTATATAACGATTAAACACAATTTATTTTAATATGGAAGAAACCCGTAAAATCTTCGAAGAAAAATCTAAAAAATCAACGGTATAATTTTTACCCATTTGAAACTTGTACTTTATTCTACTAGAATTCAACGGGCTACATAACTGCGTCCTCGCAAATCCTTTTGAGAAGTCTAAATTTTTAAATATGGCGCAAAGTTTGAAACTTGGGTTTTCAGCTTTTTTGTTAAAGAATAAACTATAAAAAATAACCAAAATTAAATAGCAAAAAAAAGTATGTTAAAACTAGCCAATATGTGGTACGGCTTTAACTTTTTTGTCCACTGTACATACATATATACAGTGACTCAAACAAATTACCACGTGTTGATTTTCTTCAAATATTCGTAATGTTTTTCCAGCAAAATTTTTTTTTGTTATTTTTATATAAACATATCGTCCAGGCTTTGACCAAAACCGTGTAAATCACAGTTTTACAATTTTACACAAAATTAAGGAAAATTCAACAAATTTTCATCAAAATTCTAACTTTTTATTCTGAATTTTGAGAAAAGTTTTGGGTGTGCAGTTTTATAGCACATACAATTTTAGCCTAATGAAGTGCAAGTTTCAAACAGCTAAAAATCGCGTTGATTTTTGAGAATTTTTTTTTATGCTACTTTTTCGGGTTTTTTTAATATAACAAGCGCAATTAACAAAAACTTGCGTTGATATTTTGAAATTTTGTTGCTGACGGTCTCCCGCGTTTTGTTTCATAAGAAAAATCCGTAAACGAAAAAAAATTCTCATAAACCAACGCGATTCTTTTAGCCGACTAAAATTGTATGGGTTATAAAATTGCATACCCAAAAATTTTCTAAAAATTCAGATTAAAAAGTTCAAATTTAGACGAAAATTTATTGAATTTTGAACTGTGATTTACACGGTTTTGGTAAAAGCTTAGACAATATGTTTATATAAAAATAACGAAAAAAACTTAGCTCGAAAAACATCACGAATATTTGAAGAAAATCGACACGTGGTAATTTGTTTGAGTCACTGTATGTATTTAAAACCGCATTTCACAAAACATGTTGAATAAGGCCTTGTGTACTGATGATGGGATATGCATTAATTTTTTTTCATACGAACCTTGCCAAGAAAATATTTTATTTGGTAAAAAAATTCAAACATTACACATTACATACATATTATTACAATTTAGTCATTTATTTAACAAAAAGAAATTTCGATAAAATCAGTTTTTTTCAAATTTTTGTTGGCCTAGTTGAATTAGTAAAAGTTACCACAGAAAAAAGCGCCCGACGGATTCTCCCTTTTTTTTTTGGAAAATGGTCAGTGAGGTCCCCCGAAATAGTAGCAACAGGATTCGGCGAAGGGAAGCAACTTGAGGGTTGAAATTGTTTCCAGGGTACCGTGCTATATTTACGAGGGATTGTAAATATCGATTCGATTATCGTTAGATCGAAACTTTCAACTTTCAGTTAGGGCTGAACTCATAAATTATACTTTTGTGTGAATGTATACATACAAATATATTAGCCACAATATAAACAATGCAGACACACACATATGTGAATTCCCAGCTTTTATTGATTTCATTTGCTTTAAATTTTTCTCGTTTCAGAATTGGCAAGCCATTGTCAACTCATCGCTTGCTTCACTGCTCTTACTCGGTGTCTCGACCACAATTGCAATTGCATTGGTTGTAAATTCCGAGTTGGTGCCGAAAAAAATGTTGCATATAAACAAAATGTCAGCAACAGCAGCGACAAGTGGACGCACCATCACAGCAGTAAAAAAAGAACATCAACATCAACAGCAGCGTCACCGTCACCGTCACGAGATGAATAAGCGTCGTAACTCTACAAGTGGCAATGACAATGGCAATGGCGCAAACGTGACCACTGCTAACGCCTCCGCAACAACCATCGATGCGACCAGTCTGAGTGCCACCACAAACATAAAACAAATCAGCAGCAGTGACGCCGGCGGCGGCAATGTTGCCAGCAATGACAATAGCATTGCCAACGACAGTACCACAGTGAATAGACGCGTTGGTGGCGGCAGCGTCGTAGTTCCGGCGCGTTCTGTCGCCCGCGTGCAAGAGCTCTACTTTCCGGTGAGTGTGCGGGCCGTCATTGGCATTAGTTGGTTGCCGCCACTACTATATGCCATCACCGTGCCGCTCATATGCAGCATTATTGGCAAATGGCCACGCAATTGGTGGCTGGAAGTGATGAGCAATACAACAGCGGACGCAACAAGAACAACAACAACAACAACTTCATACTCCAAGTCCGGAGGTCTGCTGGGCATGCATCATGGTTTATCCACGCTTGTAGGCGGATATGGTAGCGGCGGCGGCGGCGGCGGCGGCGGCGGAAGTGATTACTTAGTGGAGCATATGGCGCATTCACCGCCGCCCTCGTCTTCGCTGAGTTTGAAGGTTGAACCGAACAACATCAACAGCACAAGCCATATCTATGATGTTATGATGAGCACAACAACGACAACCAGCACATTGGAGGCTGAATCAGTAACAGCAGCTGATGCTACTGCCGCAGCGGCAGCTGTTGCGACCGGAATATTAACAACTACCAGCTCTGCAACTGCCACCAGCGACTACAATCAGCATTCTTCAACATATTCGTCGTCTTCCGCCAACTTCTCAACATCCACTGCCATTTCAACCACCTTCTCCGTTGCCGGCTGGCATAATAACTTCCAACCGGCAGCAATCTCCGCATCCTCTTCCGTTACCGCTGCTGCCTACCGAAGTGAATTCTTCGATGTGAACGCGGACGCCGCTGACGCAGAGTCAAATCTCGATGGCGGTGGCGGTGGCGGTGGTGTAGGCCGTGTGGCATCACTCAATTTCATTATATTTATTTGCGTCGATTTGCTATTCATTTTGCTCTTCTGTGCGCTCTTCGTCATTTTAATCAAGAAACTTTTATGGCTGTGGCATAAAAATCGAAATATTCACGCACATCCGCAGGATAAATTCAATGTGGCGATGCGTAGACGGTAAGTCAGTTGCTATTTATTCTTCATTTTATTCAAACACGAGCCACATAAGTAAAGTAGAAACTTAGTTCTATTTTGATGTCGTTGCTATTTTAGTAGTCGATTTATTGCTGGTTTTGCTCGCAAAATTTCTACTTTGACTTGTTGACTTACGAAGTGGCATAAATTCTTTTTTTATTTTGCCGCAGTTCTTTGTTCATCCAAAATAAGACAAGACATTTCGTCGGAAGCTGCTCACACTTTTATTTTACTACCACCAAAGCTCTGCCGCATAAAATGCAGAAAAGGCTTTGAACCAGTGGCTGGATTCTGTAACTGTGAGTTTTCAAGTTCACACTGAAAATTGTGTACACTCTTCATTTTGCGATTCAGGAAGTGTTAGAAAGAGTTTTAAATGTCAAAATTTTGTACACTTCTCTTCCGAAAAGCTCACAGCATTTTATTCGGTAAGTTTTTAGTTGTGAGTTTTGCACGCGGTGTACACTAAATTTTCTCACAGTAACAGAATCCAGCCCCAGGTGCCTATAAACTAGAAAACCGTTTAGCTCATTCCATAATAGTTTGGGGATTGGCAGCATTTGCATAGTGAAGACCAGTAAATTAGGGATTTAAAATTATACCATCGTCATCCCAGTTTAATTCTCTATAAAAAAAAAAAAACGTGGTTCAAAAAAGTCGGCGTTTTTCAAGAAATATTTTTAAAATATTTTTCTTTATGACGAGATGGTTTATTTTATGAGAATCAAAAATTTTTTGTATTTTTTTTTCGAAAACTTATGTTAAGGTGTTAAATATCGGGTTTTTGCAAAAAGTTAAATTTTATTGCGGATTCCGATAGAATACCTATATACCTTTGTATTGCAAGATTTTTCTTTAAGGCGACAAACCCATATAAATGGGCGTGGCAATTGCAGGACTAAAGTTAGCAAAACGCAGATTTTAAATTCTTGCAAAAACTCGATGTTTAACACCTTACTAAATATATCTCGACATAAGTTTTGGTAAACAAATTCACTATGCAAATCAACTTCAAAAAGTTCAACTGCTAATAGCCAAGTTAGCTGTAGCTTTAAAACGACGTTAAGATGAAGTCTCTACGATGGGCAGAACCCCAGATATAACGATTTGAAGGAGTACATGATTAGTCAGAATCACGAAAAAATGCAAACTTTGACAGATCATATCTCCAAAGAAAAAAAGCGAAAAAAAATTCCTCGAACACGTGTTAGCGCATTTCATGTATAGAACCCATAAATAATACAATCGAAAGTGTGACACCAAATTTGTTGTCCGATATGAAAAAGAAGGTCTCATATCTAATAAATTTATTCTATAAAGCTTCTCATTTTCCACGTACATAGCTGCATTTTAACTTAACCCTTAACTATTGACCTTAGATAAAGACGCACATGTTGGTATGTAATACCACACAAACTTTACCGTTAAGTGATAAAAATGTATGTGCATCATTTCACTAAAAACTCGTTTTTTAGTACATTATTACTCATTTTACTTTGGGTTTCACTTAAACTGGAAAAAGCCGTGAAAACTTCGAAAAACTCAAATCTTTTATTGACAGATCCTGATTTGTATGAACTTTATTCGATATTGGAAAAATCAAGATCTAAAAAAACAAAACCGCCAATAGATATCAAAAAAGGGAGTTTGGAAAACCGAGTCAATCATCCTAAAAAATATTCTAAAACCCTGGTTAATTCGATAACAAAACGCCGGTTTGTTCGTTATTAGATAAATCAAAACTTCAAAAAACTGCCTACAAATTAAAAAAAAAAAAAAACAACTTGGAAAAACCAAGTCAATCACCCCACATTCCTAATTGTGATATTAGAATGATGTCGTAAGGGTCATATTAATGATAAAAAATATTTCTTTGGTTGTTGTTGTTTGTAAGAAGAGTTATTTATGCGCTTGGTCTTATTATAAGTTTTCATACTGTTAGACAATATTTTGTTGTGATTTCGGGTACTCTAAGCATATATTTAGCCGTTAAAGACGTTATGGCATACGACAATACAACACTTACGACCAGATATTTAAGGTATTTCAAATAAATACAAGTCATTAAAATACAAAACGCTCACTGAGAAGAGAATAGCGAACCTTCGCAATCTTGCAGGCAGGCATAATACATATACATTGACTCAAAAAAGTGTTCGGGTATTGATAATTTTCAAGTTAAATGTTTTTATTGTTTTTCTATAAAAAATAATTTCTAAGCTTTATCCAAAACCACATAAATTCCAGTTTCACACTTCATAGTTCACAGTTTTGGAAAGTTCAACAAAATTTTCATTAAAATTTCGAGTTTTTTAAACTAAATATAAAAGTTGTGGGTATACAGTTTTATAGCGCATACAATTTTAGTCTAGTAAAGTGCAAGTTAAAAGCATCTAAAAAATCGTGTTGACTTTTAACATTTTTTTTTTTTTTTTGTGACTACTTCTTAAAACAATTTTTACCGATGCATTTTGGTTGGCAGCTGAGCAGCAAACATCAGCCCCAAAATTTTGCGGGCAAAAAGGTTAAAATTAAAATTTGAATAATAGGACCATAGGCAGACTCTAGATTTAGTGATTAAATTACTAAAACTGTTTCAAACTGGCGTTGATGTTTTGAAATCTTGTTACGAACGGTCTTGCGCATTACATTTCCTAAGCAATTCATGTCTATGTGGAAAACAGTGCATAAGTTTTTGTATTTAAATAATATTTTTAAAATCTCTGCTTACGTTCGCTTGTGAATCACTCAAATAAATGTATGTATATGCTCTTTGTAGACTAACTAACTATAAACTTAATACATACATAATAATGTGTTTATTGTATTATAATGAACTACATATCAAATAGCTATTTTTGTGATTTATTTTGGGTTATTTACACTCTTTTAATAACGTGAAAATTTAGTAACGTTTATGTCTGTACATTCTATCTTCACTGTGATACTCTACAGTTTATATTAGTTGAGGGGGCCATGCCATGTAAACTCGATCAGAGCTATGACAAAAGATTCAAAAACCAAATGCTAGACTGTATGCTGGTTTAGTGCATTAAAAAAATTGTGGTTTTAGAAGCCATAGTACATAGTCTACCCCCCTATTAAAGCAATTAATGCTCTAAATTTTCCCACCATTCCTCATCCCTCAGCGAATCACTAAAGAAATAATTACATTAAGTTACCTTACAACCTGTACAGTTATAAGCTGTGCAATTTTTTTTGTTTTTAGTTTCAGCCGTAACATAGATTATTTACGCTTTTAAAAGTGTGCCCTAGCCTTTAAAATTACCACTCGGTGAATTTTCTGGTTTCGTTAATTTTTAGTCATAACAATGATCCGTTTCACATGGAATATCATTTATATGTTTGTACGTATGCAGGTACCAGTTGTTTATTTATCTACATACATATGTACACGTCAGGTGAGCTATCGATTCATGTTCCTTATTTTGGTTTCTGATTTCAGCATTGGCCTAATTTATCGCACCGGTTGTTTGCTCGTAATGAAATTATCAACGGATGCATTATTCATTGCATATGTAAATTCAACACAAAATTCATGGTGGTCCTATCCATTTGGCATATCTTGCACTTTGTTGGTAAGTACAAATGAGCCTAGAAACATATCTATGTCGAGAGATTTTTAAAAATTCATGCACACATACACATACGTATATGTATATTTATGTAAATTTGTATGTTAATTTTGTTTAACCAGAATGTTGTTATCTTTATACATATATAGATAAACATGGAGTTTATCTAGCTGTGTATGTACGTGCTTAACTACGTTAGGTCTACCAATGCGAGGTTAAATAAATGTTTGTGGATGCTTTAGCAAATTCTCATATGAAAAAGATATTTGCGTAGCTAGGAATAGGCATCTGTTACGCCATTTGTCGAATTTTGAACATTTTCATTTTACTTTCGTAGTTACATATATACATACATGTGCGTACATATGTATTTGTGGCAGTATTTATGCTCAAACATACATACGTCCCGTAAGCAGCCCAAGGCAAACAACAAAGTTACGTATACGCCCAGACATGCTTTTGCTTATCATCGTATTTGGGTTTAATTGGAATTTTCATGCAAATTGATTCTATTCGCAACAAATGTGTCACTTGGCAGTTACATTGAAAGCAAAATAAGATTATGCAGATGAAAAGTAAAATTCCCACACAAATGGGTACGAATGTACTTAGCTTGTTCGTGCATACCTAAATACATATCGTCGTCTAAAGTACAAAACCGCGTATCGTCATTCTGCAAAACCGCGTAACTGACATTTGCTGCCAAAATTCGATTTGCTCACACAAGCTCTTGGCTCAATCCTTATCCATTCGCACTGAAATATACTTGCCAAAAATGCGATTGCTTTATAAAAAAGAGAACCATTTTGAAATGTGAGTGTTTTTGCTCTCTAGAAAATAATTTATGCAACTACACATACGCGGTTTTGCATTTTGTTGATACGCGGTTTTTTTACTTAAAATGACGATATGTGCATACATATGAATGCAAAAAAAATATGTATGTATATACGTGCACAACTATGACAAATATTTATATTTTATTCGTTATTCCACGAAACAAAACCTAACCACTTTGCTTTAATTTCATTTCAACTTTGGTAAATTTTATTAATTTGGTAAACTTAATTCTTACATTTTAAAATTTTATTTCTCTTACAATTTACAATTTCATGTATTAAGTCCTGAGCTCATAACTGCAGTTAAGTTGGAAATGGGCTGTTAGAAATACTCGTTTGAATCAATGGGCCGTATGCATAAAACCTAAGCAAATGATTTTTCTTAAAATTTCAGACCTTTTACTCAATTTTTTTTTCAAATAAATTTAAGTGAAAGGTATCAAATTTTAAGAAAAATCAATTGTTTCGTTTTTATGCATACGGCCCAATATATGTATATAATTGCTTTAAAATTTCTTAAATACAAATTTTTCATCAGGTCCCTTCTCCTATTCGTTATCTATGTATTATATTGTTATCCATATAGAAAGACTTTTCCGTATTGGAATCGTTAAATTTTATGATAGTCATAATCGATTTACAAAACTATCGTTATCATTATAGATGTTCCTACGGCTTAGCGATATCAAAATCAAAAAATTTATCGATTACCGTTCGGTCTAGACCAGAGATTCCCAAACTTTTTTTTCTCGTAGACCCCTTTCAAAACTCTACTGGTTTCGGTGGACCCCCTATTCTACATTTCTAACACATTCGCGATGTAAGAGGCAAAAATAAAAATAAAATATTTTCTTGTGTTCTATTTATAAAAATAATGTCATTACACTCTTGCAAGTTTTAAAAAACAGAGCTCGTAAAGCCATTAAAGTCCGCTCTCGCGTTTAAATAGCTTATTTGTGTTGATGGCATCATTTTTATTTTAACCGCTCGGAGTAATAAACTGGTTCGAAAAATATTTATCACTCACACCGAACCGAACCGAAAAGCTTTTTTCGGCAAACTTTAAATTCAGAAACTGACAAATAAAGAAAAATAAAGAAAAAGCCGAATCGATGACGAAACAACAAAGTAAGCAAAAAGCACAGAAAGTGTTCCGCCGTCTCATCTTCTTCAAGGCAGGATGGGCAAATGGAGTTGTCATTTATGCCTATTGCAGTCAGATGATTGTGCCACGTGAAGCGACTAGTCAGTAGTAAAATAAATAGACCATCTGAGATTAAAGTCAACATGAGTTTTGCCTACCTGCATTCCCTCGATACCTTCTCAGTCATTGCTGAACGAAGTATTCACCCAACTTCTGATGGTGGTGTCGATGGCCGGAGTGGGAAGTGCTATAATTGGTTGAGAATCGAGGAATGCCCGGTCTAAGCCAACTGTGGCCAAATGGTCAGATGTCTCATTACCAGGTACTTTCGAGTGACCTGACACCCAAAGTATAGGCTTGCATTGCCGAACTTGTTTGGCAGTAGTTAGAGGGTTTACCAATGCCTCAAGTGCAGCTTGGCTGTCACTACAGGCACGTAAACTCCATTCCCTCCACCTATTTTCCACCACTTAGTCCATGGCCTTGAGGATTACAAATACCTCAGCCTGGAATACCGAAGCATATTCTCCAAGAGAAAAGTGAAGTCATAGTGGTGTAACTTTCCTTTACCATTGAATAGATACAAGTGCTCAAATCTCTGCCGGCAGCAATTTCCGCCTCGCCGCACTCAGTATTATAACAACATCCGTCTCTTTTTGGTCTACAGGTGGCTTCTAAGGTTTTCCCATGTATGAAGACACGAAGTTACGGTAAGTAAGTTAAATAAAAAGGCTAGATAAATTCCAAAGGCTTGCTTGCACACTTGTTGCGTGCATTGTTGCAATTCGTATGATCAGTCCATAAAAGTGGTCAAATACTAATTATGCTCACGGTAGAATACTGACGGAGGTTTCAGGGCTTCCCAGCTTGGTGGATTACGCACTTTCGAGGCCTGCTTCCACTATATCGTTTACCACCCTCCCTCAAGGAAGGAGTGAAAACAAGACGCTCCAAAGAGTGGCAAGTCCATTCATGTATACACAGATGATTAAAAGCACGAGGGTAGGGTTGGTGTAGGTGTACGCTCCGAATACCTTGTAACCTCATTTTCGTCTTCGTCTTTCAACGACATTTTGGTGGCAATCAAATCTATCAGAAGGAGTCGACAACCTCCATGTAGCCAAGCTCCTTGTAACGAGATGGTTAAGTAATTTCGCCTAAATGTGATATGGCTCCAGGGACACTGCGACATAGAGGGGCACTGTTAGGCTGATGAACTGGCGCGATTTGGCACCAAACTTCCTTTTGAAAATATAAAGTGCCCTACTCTATCTAGACGTAGACTATCCGCTCTGCAGAGACAATTCTCGATAACAAAATTGAAATTGCTTCCCATTTTTTATGGCTGCGTAGCATTCATAGAATCTATTTTATATATACTCGTAGTTATATCTATTTTCGGTTCTGATTTTTGATGATATTAAATTTTCGATTTTTTCACTATAATTGCCTTCGTTTACCATCATTTTTTCAGTGCAAATAACAAATCATCGCTTTAATGAGCAAGAAAAACCTCAACCACCTACATATGCAACCAATACAACAAACAAGTTCTATGTACATAGTCTCATTTGTACAAACAGATAAGCAAACAAAGTTACCTTAACCTACAAAAATCGGATTTAAGTTTTTGTTTTTATTGTAGTCCTTGTTTGCTAGAGGTAATTTTTATAGAAACGTATGTATGTATGTATTTAGCTTGTAACTGTCACATGGCATTTACGCAAATACCACTAAGCCTATGACGCAATTCAGAAAAAAAAATCGCTGACATAGAAAATCTAAAATTTCATCATTTAGCTAGGTAAAGTATGCCCTTGATGATGGAAAGTTATCAAAAGAGATTATATCTTTAGCTTTAATAACACTGTACAACAAAAACAAAAAATTTCAAAACACACGAAAGCATCGATATACTCACGAGACTATGGGCCAAAAATAGTAAAACTTCGTTTTTAGTTTTTCACTCTGAAGTCAGGATTTCTTTTTTTAAAGGACTTTGTTTGAAATTTTACAGATATGATTAATTTAAAAAATTACAAACAATAAAGCCAAATACAAGGCCGAATAGGTATTGAAAATGCGCTTTTAATAAATTTTATCTCTTCAAATTAATAAAGTTTGCAGGACGAAATTCGATGACGAGGTCATGCGTATATTAGTCCTGAAACAATAATTTTTTTCAAAAAAAAAAAAATATTGCAAAATTTCATGGATATTTAAGGACAAAATTTGAAATGACATTTTCCATAATCATTCGTCCTTATGCACCAAAAAATTTATTCTGTTATAATTCTGCAGAATTGGTATCCTACATTGCACGGAAGTGTTTAAATAATTTTTTTCAAAGACCTTTTAAAAAAAAACCTGACGTCAAAGAGAAAAATTAAGTACGCAGTTTTACAATAATTTACCCATAGTTTCGCGTATATTTTCATTTTTTTGTGTACAAAATTTCCTGGCGCATGGTGTAATATGTGAAAGTATTTTTATACCCGAGCGCACTTGTGCACAAGGGTATATTAATTTTGTTCACATAACGGTTGTTTGTAACAGCCAAAACGAATCGAGATAGATATAGACAAATGTATACATAAATGATCAGGATGAAAAAAGAAATCGATTAAGCCATGTCTGTCTGTCCGTCCGTCTGTCCGTCTGTCCGTGTACACGATAACTCGAGCAAAAATTGAGATATCTCAACGAAATTTGGTATGTAGGTTTCCCTTAATCCAAGGTAGGTTGGTATTGAAAATGGGCGAAATCGGACTTTAACCACGCCTACTTCCCATATAACGGTAATTTCCAGAAATACGAAAACTGCGATATTTTAGTAACTACTGAAGATAATTCACTCAAAATTATTTTTAGACGAAAAATAAGAATATTATAAAGTTTTGGAAAATGGGCGTAGCCACGCCCACTTATGGTTACATGTGTATATCTTGGTAACCGCTGCACCAATTTCTTCCAAACTTGGTACAGTTGTTGGCCTTCGCATAACATACCAAATGGCCGAA